AAAACTATTTTTCCTACTATGAATGCCAATTGGAATTGAAGTCCACGTGTTTCTCACTGAAGGCAGTTTCTGAGGGGATTAATCTAATTGACTTAAAAATTCACAAGAAATGATTAACTTACTTCTAATTACCAATTGGATTTTTGTCAATTCAAATTACACAAAGTATCTTCAAGAGAACAGCTGCTGGTGACATTTTATGAAAAATGGATGAGACGAACCATATTCTTCTCAACACGATTGCATCTTGCTCTCTTCAGAAAGACTTTGCTTTCTGTCGTGATGCTGCTCTCGATTGTGTAACTGTAGCCAGACAGAGTTGTTGCGCAAAAGATTGTAAACAACTGTTGAAGCAGTCTGCGTACAAATGACATTAATTCATGTCTGGGCTTACTGATCTGCCTTTCCCATTTGGATCTAATTTGTGGAGGGATGATGAGTCATTACTTAAGGTTGAGAGGAGCAGATGGTTTCCTCTAAAATCTCCCCTTTCCTGCAGTTCTGTCCGGGGCTTCTGTTTTTATCTTCAGATCAATCCTGTCTTTTCTTCATAGGATGAATGAATGTCTGGGCCAAGGTAATCTGTCCCGCCTTCACTTTGTTAAGCCTGTGCTTTGTCTTCTGGTGCAGCTTATATAGATGTCTCTTTTTCTTGCATCTGGGGAGGCACACAGAGGTCTACAGACAGACTGACCAGCAGGAACACATCTCTTATTACTGCACTTTATCAGGGACCACTCTCCTGTTGGTCTCGATGTCCTCTATTTTCTTTTTCTCCAATGAATAATTACAGGAGAGAAGATTTCCTGAAATGGTCGAAAAAACATTTTTCAAGAGACTTCTCACTTTAGTTGAGTCCTCGGTATCGTGCTGAAAGGCAATGAAATCAAGGCATATCCCCTTCCACAGCTCTTGTTCCATTTCTTGTTTATGTAGTGCCAGTCTGAATGATAGACAGTAGACAAGAAAATGGAGATTTATGATCCTTTCTTTTATCTTAAAAAAGGGGATTCAATTACACTATTCATTCTTGGCAATTCATTTTCTTCTGGTGTGACCTGTCTGTTGAGACTGAGGATACCTGATGTTCTGTCTTCCAGCCATAAGACAAAGAAAGGAAAACTTCTTCCCTTTATCCAGCAGCTCTTTAGCTATAACTCCTTAAATTAACAGGATGACTTGGGGAGGCGCTGTCTTTTGCACAGCATCCCATCTGTTCAGGACCTCTTCGACTGCAATAGCCTTAGTCTCAATGTTACTAGGTTGTTTTTTAGTTTTGTTTTGTGTTCGAATATGTGCGCTTGTCCTAAAGCTCCTTAACACTGCAAACTTATTTTAGGTAAAAGGCCAAATTAATATTTCAACCATATTCATGTGAAGCCATGCAAATGAACAGAACCCCTCGGTAACTGGCCTTGATCAGCATTAATCCTTCCCTCAGCCTTTCCCTCGAGCCTTGGGAGGTGCAACAATCAATCAAGAGCAGCAATCTCTGCTTCTCCCTTCTACTGATGGAATATTGATAAATGATGTTTGAAATGAATGAAGGCTACCCCCAAAGGCGCGAAATCTATAGACCCACTTGTTAGCTGTCCACGTCATTCAGTGTCAAAAGCTTCAAGTTGAACCATTTTTGTTCAAGCAGTCCAATTTTTACCCCGACGGTGTTGTCACTGCGGTTCGGGCTGTGCAAATAAAGATAAGCTTCTCAAAGTCATCATTGTCATGCAGTGATAAATTGTATAAAGTTGTCTTAATGTAAGGACTCCGTATTTCAGCTTTACGATATATTTTTTAAATCATTGTGCACTTTTCATGCTATAAAATGAGGGAAATTTAACCAGATATGAGCAAAACACAACATACCATAAACACACCACTTTTTAAATGAAATCTAAGCAGACACAAAGCAGCAGTGATGTAACATCTCCACTTTTAGGTGCCTTAAATAAGGTTTTGCAAAGTTTTCTGTCCTCCTTGGGCATGGTAACACAAGCTGAAAGCCCCAAACCAGCAAATCCAAAAACTACTTCTTTTATAGAGGAACTCGCGCCTGCTGATGATGAATTTGTCAATGGCTTTTTGTCGGCTTTTTTTATCTCATGTGCCAATAATTTAAAAAAATGAATTCCCAAACGGACAAGTTTTCATCTAGCAGCTCCAAACTTTCTCTCCTTATCTTGAGAACACTCGATATGTTTGCTGACAAACAGCTGCTGGAGCGGGGTTAATGACAGCGGTGAAACTGAACCATAAGGCTTCTCCCATAAAGCGTATTTACAGGCAGCGGGCGCAGCTTTAAAGCCTACGCATGCCGCCAAGTGGCTTTCATTTTGATTGGCATGAAGTTCCTTAAATTTCATATTCTTATTTTTCCTCACTGTGTTGTGGCCATCACTTTTTACAATATTGTACACCATAAAATAGAAAAACATGGAGTAACTTTCTGTAAGCATGCCCACAGAGTGACAGAACAAATGTTACCGGAATAAAATATGCAACTCTTGCTCAAGGCAGATTAGTGTGCTTTGCTATAGTGTCCTCTGGCATTCAGGATTATATGTGGCCCTGTTTTTTCCTCATTCCGTGCACAGTTTTACAGTTCTTCTTCTCATTTCCCTACCTCCTCCTCTCCCCTTATTGTCAATGACCAGGGTTTTAATGATTACATCTGGCGGTGCCACAAATTAATTCCTGCCTCTATGGCAAAAAGCTGTTCTCCACCTGATTATGCAAAGCAGGCCTACATTCGCTCCCTTTGAAGTGCTGGAAAAGCTGCTTAGAGATTCTCCCCTTGAGGAAACACTGCAATATGGGGAGCATCAACAAACCAGAGTTCACTCAAAGGTCAGCAATATAGTTAACCCCAATGAAGCTCCACTTCATCTCCACGGCTTTCCAGTTGTGTTGCTGCGTCATTTTGGTGTGATGCAAACCTCCGTATCAGACTGGTGGCATTTGTCATACGTGCAAAAATAGGACAGTCAATAAAAATAGCTGTATAAGTGCACCAAATATGCTCGTGTCTATATGGTCAAACAGACCGGATAGATGGAATGGGCACAAAGCTCTTGCGGCATTCTCATTTTGGCAATCGCACATTCGACGGTGTCTCGTGGGGCCGCTCCCAAACACCGGCCCACTCAGTTTGGAATGAAAACAAGGACTTCCACATAGAACTGCTACCCCATGCCGCGGCGGATTTAATCAGGCCGACCAGCTCAAAGGTAAAAACGTACAAATCCTCGCAGTATAACTGTCTTTATTTACTTTCAATTGGACGGCCCCTTCTGATCGGTGATCACAGCGTGATGAAAAGCTGCGACGCTGCGATGAAACGGCATCTAATCTTTGCTCAAGCGTGACACAAGAAACATCCTCCAAAGTAATGAACCACAACAAGAGACGACACGGCCGTCTCAGTCACACCGAAAGGAGGCACAGCACGATAAAGGACATGAAAGATGTACGATTACTTGCAGTGAGACTTTACAATGCACTAAAGGAGCAGGAGGAGCAGAGAGAGGATCTGTCTGCTAATTACATCACCTCTTCCCTATCTGGCCAACAAAGTCACGTTGCAGAGAGAAACTTTTGCTTCCCTCCGAGTCAGAAAACACGTCCAATAGTGCTGTGGCGCTTTCTGGAATATTAACAAGGAAACAATAAGCAATGGGTGTTCGCAAAGTGTTTAGCAGTGTGAAACTCAAAAAGCACACACTCTAAACACATGGAAGTCCTGGAGCTGACGGTGATGAAACATTTCATTAGTAAAAATGTGATTACACAAAGTGGATGCACTGTGTTGTCAGTGGGACAGTTGTTCCTCTGCATCCGTTTGTGTACCAGCAGGTTTCTGAGAATCCAGAAGCCATCAAGTTTGACCTCTCTCCAGCCAATTTTGCAAAAATGAGCAAGAGCAACTCTTTTCTAACAGAAAACGAGCCCCTTTCCCAACGTGTGCTGCTTTCTCCTTAATCTGGTGGATGCTGCCTGTGTGGGTGCTTGGTGTGAGTGAGCGAGCGCCTCGGCTCTTCCCGACAGCCTGACCAACTCTGAACAAACAACACCCACATGCAACAGGAACTCGAGCAATGGCGATAAAGGACAGACAAGTAGGGGTGTTGGTAATTTAGCCTGCCATGGCTTTTTTTTTTTTTCCCTGGAAGCAGACAGATAGAATTAATACATAGATTAATTGTGACAGCACTGTGGCTTCATCCAAAGTGATAAACTGATATCTGATAACGACTTTTCGCTGCTTGATCACAGCCACACTGTGGCTGAAGTGCATTTGCACTCTCACATATGGAACACCGACTGTTCCACAAGCTTAAACGTGAGGGAAAGTGACACTTTCAGCTGTGATGATCCACAGTAAACAAATGCCACGTTTCACACCACCATCATAGAATTTACATGCTCCTCGACGCACTAAAACCAACAGACCAGCAGCTATCTCACACAAATGACAAGTACTGGGCACAGGATGTAGATATTTTGTTTTAGCCAGCTGTAAAAAAGGCCTGTCTCCCCAGATATAGAGACTGAAGTCCCAGTAGATGCTGGTCTGTGCCTTTCCATGCATCTCATTTTGTGAGACACGACATTGCGTTTCTGTGGCTCAGAAATGTTGAGACGACATGGATTCCCGGTTTAAAGAAATATAAAATTGTAATAATTTCGCCTCCGACTGTTGTTGCCCAGAAACTATCAGCAGCAGTAGTTCAAGACGTACACGAAGAGCCGACAATTTCTCCTCTGACAGGGTAATGTGTGTTTTTAATATCTGCTGTTTGCAAGTGTCTTCCAACGGTTTTGCATTTTTCCGTGCAAATGAGTTCCCAATAATGCACAATAAATAAAGACTGTGGGTTGCAGAATATCAAGCACAAGGGTAAAACTTAAAGAGATTAGAATAGATTTTCAAGAAACTTGAGGATGAAAAAAAAGTGCTCACATCATCACATGACTTATTACAGAGAAATGAGGACTGAATCTGATGTTTGATTTTTTTTTTTTTTGCTTGCTCATGAATAAGTCCAACATTCAAAACCTACTTTGATATGTTTTGGAGCTTTTCCAAATCCTATAGCTGTAATATGCTTCACTTAGATCCACGGGATGAAACCAGATGATGCTATAAAAACAGTGGGTGAACCAAAATAACAGGGTTTTAAGTTGGGATGAATAATAGGGACATTGTTGTGTTTTTATTTGCTATTTAAATGTAAAACCTCACACAATCCCACCACCCCCAAACACACAGATACAGCAGAAGCTATAAAAATCAAGACATTTACAGTCCAGAGGACGTGCAGCTGTGTGTGATTGTCTGAAATGTGTGTGTTATTTTATCGACATGTCCCAACTACAGCTGCTGCTGTTTGGATACGGGACAGAATTCTCTATGTTTCATCATTATTCAAAATCTTCAATATATGGATATTTTTTTTATTTCAATTTATTTCCCAAATACATCCCTTCTTCTAATTCGGGAAAGAAACATTGGTCCCCAGGTCTTTCCAACCTGAGGAACCACTAGAATGCCAAGCCGGTGGTGATTAGGGTGAGAACTGAATTCAAAGTGTCCTGATAAAGGCGTGGCAATCTCTTCCCACAGGTCTTCGGCTTGGGCCTCTGGGAAGTCCCTCAGCACGGATTCCACCACAGCCTGGTTCTCATGGCTTGACAGTGTGCAGGTCGAATAGACCACAGCACCTCCAGGACGCACTGCAGATAGTGCCGACCTGCAAACGGAAAACAAACACTGTGTGCTACACTGTGTGCTACGCTGAAATGCTTTGAGAAGACAGTTATTATAGCTTTCATTTCATTTTGTTTTCTGTGCTTCCAAGCAGCAGGAGAGCTGTGATGATGCTGACACGGTTTACTTTATGAGAGCACTGCTAAGGGAGCTCTCGTGATGTACTGGGAAACTCTCCTCGCCGTGCTGTCTTTGCTCTTCCCACATGTTTGTGTCATTATTAACTTTTTATCTTGAGACTGACGGATGACTTTCCTTATTCTGGTAGTCTGGTCTCTTCCTGTTCCCTTTCCACTGATGTCTCTCCCTTCGTGCAAGCTCAGGACAGGGTTTAAATCAAAGTGGAGATTTTTTTTTTTAAAGGTTCTGTTGGCTCTGGTAATCTTTATTTGGAAGTGGCACGACAGGAAAGGGGGCAAAAGACGGAGAGGGAGAGACACACAGGAAAGGGCCCTGAGCCAGAATGGAACCCAGGCTGCCAGCACAGGAGCACAGAGCCTCTCTACATGGGCAGCCTACAAAAGACACTGAGCTACACAGCGCCCTGAGGTGCCGATTTGATGAAGAAAAAAAATCTTCTTGGCTGGAAAACTTTTTGGGAACTAGGATAAGTTCACATCCAATAAGAAAATAGGGAAAATAACTGAACGGAACCTTTTCTGCCTCACTTAGCGGGTATTTTCTATGTCTGGGACTGGGCTCACCTAAGCAGCTCAGCCTGTAACGCAGGCAGCCTGGATCGGTCCTTCAGTCTCCGTTCCCCCTGCTGGATGCTACCAGAATACAGCCAGCTCCGGTCATTAGAACATGGAGCATCCACTAAGACCTGGGACAAAAAGTAATTGGGGTAGATAGATGAGTAGTTGAAGAATGTTGAAGAGAAAATGAAGACATTTTAAAGTTAATCCTGAAAAAGATACTTAAGGACACCATAGATAAAGACAGTACCTGGAAACTACCAAGTATGGTGGAACCAGCGTTCTCTATATAATGATACCAGCCTTGCACGGCAAACAAAATGGAGAACAACAGCTTCTGAAACTTTACACCTCGGCTTACAGCACCCCCCCCCTGTAATTTTGCTCATAAAATCCATATCAGTGCCACTACGGTTTCTGTCCAATCAGTTTGGACTCCTGCCTTTCAGTCTTTGTTCATTCAGTTCACAGTAGACCTTTTTATTCTGTGCTATTTTCAATATTTTGTTCCATTATCAGTCACTTTGTGTTCTTTGATTCCTCCCAGCCATTTGTCTTCCTCTTCTCGGCTCCTATTTTGAATAAACGCTTTTCTTTTCTGCAGGCTTTATTAGCTTCTGTTCAAAGGCTTGCTGCTCTCATTCATTGGTAACCATGGCCTTTGAAAAATAAAAGTGTATCACATTAATTTGTGGGATACTGAAATGAAATTCAACCAAAAGCTGCCATAAACATGACAGGGGTTCTTTGCTCACCTTGTCATAAAAGCCAGCCTCGCTCTGCCCAAAAGCCCGTCCATCCTGTGCAGACACAACCACTCTGCTTTTTATTGAAATAGGCAGAAAAGACTCAAGGGTTTTACTCAGCCAGTCCCGTCTATGAGGATCTGGTTCATTACAGCAGAGGAGCTCTGAAACATAAAAGAGTCGAATTACTAATTACTGTTAGTTACTCACATAATAAGAAAGATGCTTGTGGCAGATTAAACTGTTCATTTAAATTAAATGTCCAAAGAATTTTTTTTTAAATCAGTCCTATCTTGTTTTGGCTGGATTTTTTTCAAGTGAAACGCAAACAGCTCTATGATGGAGAATTATTCTTTCGGTTTACAGATATAATTTAACCAGGGCAGTGTGTTATTTCTTGGAGTGACTTTGATCTAATGAAACATAACCCTTGATATTCATTGTACAATAAGAGTAAATCATACACTTTAGAAGTACGTATTATAAATACAAAATGTCAGTATTTGACATTTTACTGCAAACTTGGTGTAACATTTACTTCCTTCTTTAATCTTGTTAGTGTTACAGACATATATTTAAAGTGCTACTTATTCCACAAGAAAGTGCCTTTTTACACAACATGAATTCGTCTGAGGAAAAAAAAAAAGTCATCCTAAAAGGATATATTTACCTGGAGTTGCACTCTGCATTATGGCCACAGCTTTGCCTCCAGGAGCAGAGCAAAGATCCAAAACCTTGTCTCCATCTCTGACTTGCAAAGCCAGCACTGGGAGCAGGGAGGCAGCATTTAGGAGGTAGTACTGCTTCAGCTGTCCAGGCCTGTGAGGCTGAGAGGGAAATCGCAGTGGACTTGAATGAATGTAACATTGCAATGAAGAACAGGGAAAACTGAAAGTGGGCTCTGACTGAAGGTCCTGCCTGAGTCCATCAGAGGTGATGTCGGGCCGGAGATCGGAGTCCTCAGAAGGGCACTTAGAGATGTGATGATTCGACAATGTGCCTTTTCCTCCTTGGTATTTAGAATGAGATCCCATAGAGGGGGTGTTAAAAAGCCTTGCTGAGATGTGTGTTTGTTGCAGCAATGCAGAAAAGCCCTGAGACTGAAGAATCTGAGTGATGTCAGTCACAACACTGAAGCGGTTGAGCATGACCCCATACTGCCAAGTCTGAGGGTCCAGGAGCACTGCTCTGCAGGACAAAGAAACCAAAGGAATGATCATATTTTCGATGATATGTAGCCTGAAGGAACTCTTTCAGACTAAATTTACCTTGCAGATGGCCACAAGTCTCCAAGCTCTCGACTGTACTGCTGGTCAAAGTGACTGAGGACTGCCGGACATGAGGGTCTTTTCTTTTTCTGTGTTTTTCTTACCTGCTACATAAAATACACATTAAACCTAAGTTTAGCACTTAAATTCAATAACTACATTTTAGAAAACACAGCAGTAACAAAGACTTGATTTCACAAGAGACAAAAGACAGAAAAGAACATTGTAGAAAGTGCACTGAACAAATGTTCTACATAAAACATCAGTGTATTAAAAGTATTTTACATTTTGGTGGAAAAACATCTGCACATCCTTTAGCCGTTTTGTTCCTCTTCTTTCATGACAAAAACTATTGGCATATAGATCTTTATATGTCCTGCTTGATGCCAGTCTTTTGACAAAATAAGCTAAATGATAAAAAATAAAAATAACATAATCATGCGCTTCATTATGGCCTGATTATTTGCTTGCCATCTTATCGGTTTACATAATTAAATGTATGAAATAAAATTTTGGGAATAACTTCCCTTTCAATTTAACTTAGCCCAAGCTTTAAAATTCCATTAATCTTCTTGTACACCAGCTACACCTGGTGGATATGAAGTTTAAACACACTCCAAACTATTCGATATTGAATACATGGAATAACTAAATCTAGTTAATATAATCCATTCTAGAGGGATATCCATGTGCCTAACTTGCTTTCAACCACACTACCGAATCTAGAGATGGAAACGCTTAATACATACTGCGTTGACCTCTAACAGACATTTTATCTCAAACAAACTCGATGAATGTCCAGTTTATTGGGGGGTTTGTGTCGTTTGTCCAGCACATAACACGTAAGAAAATTAGACGTCTGAAAATAAAGATAGCCTAATGCTTTCAGTAGATTACTTTAATTACCTTGTTACTGTTTGCTCCTTTTCGCTTAATCTGTGGTAAAACTACATCGGGACCTGTGTGACATCTTGAGGAACACAAACACCTTAAAGCTATGGGCTCTAAATGAGTGATTTTTTCAAACCTAAAATTCCAGCCCATATTAACAGACAGGCGAATGCAAAACATTCCGCACAGTAGACATGTCCGTAATAAACCAAATAGATTTATCTTGTAAATGTCTCACACAAGCAGTTCTAAATAATGGACATACATGTACGCTCCTCAAATCCGTCCCCCTCGGAACATACACTGTGCTTTGGTGCCGAGGTTTATGGGAAAAGTAATTATATTGATTCATATAGGACCAAGTGTTCATAAAATAACTAAATATATTAATTTACCCAACCATCATACTGTATATTGCAATGTTTTTACATGTATATAATGATCTGTTTTGGGAAATGAACTCCTGAATGGAGTGTCGTTACACTCTAGCTGAATAACGCACATATCAAATATTGTCTTATAAAGTTAATGATGGACACGTGACCTTATCAAACCCATGTGCAACTCAATTTTAAAAGTAACTTTTATTGTTCCCGCCCTCAGATATATCATATCAGACGAGCTTATCAAACGCTCTATTTTATCAGTCGGTCGCCCAGGACACGCTCATCTCGGAACGATCTCGCGAGAAGTCAGCTATGTTACTAAATTGGATTGGTACTACTTAGCTAGCAGTACTTTTCAATGGGACTTAAGCTCCGTAAATACTTAAAACTATTGTTTTAATTCTGTCATGTCAGCTTTAAAATAAGGCACTAATGTGGTTTACTGAAATATTGGCATTGCATTTTCAACACAGCATTATCTATGAGGATATATATTCTCATTTTCAATCAATAGGTTTGTGAACCCCCATAATATGGAAAAGCAGTCTGAACAAAAAGAAAAAGCCACAATTAATTTATGACACTCCCAAAGAAACGAACACACATGTGAAGAATTAGATAGTTTTACTTCTGTTATTGGTTGCATGTTTGATAACAAAATCTTCCAATCAAATATACAGTATGTCAAACTCCATCAGTACCAAGACTGGAGCTTACCAGAGGTCCTCAAATTCACTATGTTTCTAGACACAATGACAAGAATAAGCAACACTGAGGTGATAACATCCTATTATTCAAACTGTCAACTCTTAACTTTGTTTTCTTGTCGTGGACTAATTTACATGGCGAACAGAATGAGGAACGCAACCATCAAACAGAAGAGACCCATGGCCTCAGAGAGAGCAAAGCCCAAGATGGCGTAAGAGAACAGCTGCTGCTTCAGAGAGGGGTTCCTGTTAAGAAGAGAAAGGCCAAATGAAATGAGGTAGTCATCCAAAGGTACATTTAAAGACACTTCAACAATAAAGAAGTCCCAGCATTTTATGAGAATCCCATGAAAAGATGTAGTTTATGCAACCAATTAAGAAACTTTAAGACGCTGTTTTGAATTAAATAATCACACCAGCAGGTTTCTCTTGAATTGAAACGTAAACAATGGAGGACATCTGATCTGTTCTGAACTTCTCTAAATATTTTACAGGTGTCTTTCGACCAAACATCGTGTGCCACGGAATCATAGCAATTCCATAAAATGTGACTAGGTCTGCCTGCAATTCTGCCTTTCTCAATGGACACATATCTTCATCATACCTGGCATATCCAATAATGAGGCTGCCGAACACAGTTCCGATTCCAGCCCCAGAGCCTGCAACTCCCACAGTGGCAGCTCCTGCTCCGATAAACTTTGCAGCAGTGTCGATGTCACGGCTAACAGCGCTGGTTTGGAATCCACGCACTGCCAGCTGCTGCTGGGAGGCAACACCTACTGGTGCCAGCAGAGAGGCAGTCTGGAATACACCAGAAGGTACAGGTTTTGATTTCATACACTTACTGTCAATAATGATGAGAATTAATTGTGCAAAATGTTCTACTTAAATGACCAAATGTATTCTAAAAACTCAACAAGATAACAGACAATGGCAGAAAACATTGTAGTCATGTTTAACAGGTTTACATCTTACACACTTTTTCACTTCTTAAATTGCCATCTTTGGTTACTTTACATAATGCCAAGTCTTCTCCCTAAAGCAGACTTTGTTTTATTAACAAACAAAGTTAATTTCAGAATCAAGCTGGACAATGTTTTATTTTGGATGAATATTTTGGAAACTTAGAACTAAATTCATTTTGTTCTTGCTTCTGATCCACACTGGGTTAAACTGCAACAATGATTTAATATGATTATAATTTGATTCTCTCAAGTATAAATTAGGAATGCACATAAGGAAAAGCATTCAGTGAATATTTATGAATCTGTGTGGTGCGAGTAGGGTTTTATATTTAGGGAACAAACACATTACAGTGTCAAATAATGTTGCATTGTAACTTGTTCCTGAAGTGCATTGGCCCTAATGGATGAGGAAATCCCATCAATCTGTGAGAAATCTGGCATTAGAAATGCACATTAGAGACAAACTGAATTGTCAGCTTCAGGCAGAACATAACGTTTGACTAAACTTAAAATATAGATGTTACGCGCCCACCTCTGCTTTCGTGCCATCGGACACTACAGCTGCAGATAGAGGTCTGTACAGTGCCCTGGATCCAGCACGGATCTGTGTCAAAGAGAAGGGAAAAGACAGACAAAAGAATAACATATGGCATTCTGATGCTCTGATAAGGTGATCAGCCATTTAACCCTGCAATGTATCAGTGCCATCTGGCATGATCCCTTCTACCCCACTCACAAAATGATTTGAAGCATGATGTTACCTACATAACGCTCAGTATATGGTAAATGTAGATTGACAAAAAAATCCAACGGTAAAATGAGCAACACTGATCCCTAACTATTGAGTTTTGGATTAATTCCGCTTCAGCAGCAAAGATTGTAACTCGAAGGCCTCTTCTCGATTTATTTGAATTAAATGAGTGTTGGCTTATTAAAGTTTTGAAAGCAGGAGAGATAGTTTCTCGTTCAAACAAATGAAAATGGGATTTGTCCTTACAGAAACTACGACGTCCTTGCAAGCGCGAGCCCCAGCTGACTTTAGCCGAGGGTGAAAGACGGCTACATGGTTTGGCTAACTTAGTGACAGCATTAGCAGGCTACTTTGTAGCGACGGATTGTTAGTCCTAAAGACGGACTGGCAATGGACAATATATTTGGACCCTCTCCTGCTGGTCAGAGGCGCAATTTGGCGCTTAAAAACGTAACCAGTTACCATTCATTCAAGGAAAACTCACCAGAGAGGGGGTGGAGACGAACTTAGCACAGGCATACATCACGATGGGACGTTCGGGTCAGGTCAACGACAGCAGCAGGCGTTTATCCGGGGGCTGAACAACACATATAACGACAAAAGAGAATGCACGGCTTACGTTATTTGACGCCGTTGGTCAAATAAGAAAGAATACTGCACGTTAAATCATGTCGGCACGCATAAGGTCAAGACCGACGACAAAAATTGCACAATGTCGAAGAAAGCAAGCGAGATTAGATTAAGAAGATCACATCGCTGTTGCAGTTAAAAAAAACATAAAGAGACACGAAACAAGGCAGGGAAGTTCCGGCACTATATTCCTATAAAAAAAACAGTTTATGACAGAGAAGGTTAGCGCTCACCGGTCTGCTGTAGAGGTCGAACGCACGAGAGGCAGACGCATGCGCAGTGTCACTTATAGAGGGTGTGTTTCCGGTGTCCTGACGTAGGAGTTTCTGCCATTGTTCACATGTACAAATGGGCTGCCTTTTCAGTGCGTGCATCTTGAATAATTGTCTCTTTAATACGATATACTCTTTACCTGCTAGAAGCTACCAATAAACCAGTTGTAGATAGAATGAGTTAATCTATCGACCCTTGATAAGACTGGCTTTTAATTTTTTAAATAGTGGTTTTACAATCTTCAGGCAACTCAGGTTAGATTTGTCTTATTGCGAATAACGTAGAGATTTTTAGCTTTATTGTATAAGATTAAATATGACACACTGCTTTAAGTATTTTGGCATTTACAAATCTTATTTTGCCTAGAGTTACCTGGTTTACTGTCACATTAATCATGGTATCTCAAAACTCAATGACTGTTGATTGTTGAAACTCCCAAACTATTTTAATTTAATTAATTATCTTAATTCTTACTTTCCTTTTTTTATCATATAAGGTCATTTTAAGTAAGGCTTAATTCATATACATAGATACAATATTGGATATTGTATGATTGGATTTGTATGATTCAAAGTTCAAACAGAATTTCCTAATACAAATATACAGTATTCTAAAGATAAACAGACGATCTATTAGATAACCAAGTGATGCAAATTACTTCAAGTTTGTGGCCCAAGTCCCACTAGATGGCAGTGATGTATTACTCAGTTTTTTTAATTAACCTGAGATATTCAGCTGGTGAGTCGTGCCCTGCTCTGTGCCTCCGTCTGTGCAGAGAAATGTTGAACTAATCTGCAAGATTTCGAATTAACACACTGCACCTGGAAGATAAAAAGGGGGAAGTAACCTGATTTTTATAAAGGCAATTTGTATGTTACACATCCAAAACGTTTTAAATGGGAATTTTTCTTTGCATACATGGATAAATAAGGCTTTTTGACTCGCACCACCATCACATTGCACAGATTAACATTCATTTCTGAAACAGATGAAACCCCTGGGAAATGAGGATTAATGATATCTGGATATTATGTGTGTAGAATATTAATGTGGTGTTTTACTGTCACTAAAATATAGAAGAGTTGTGTTTTTTTTAACAGAATGTGCATCAATTTAATTTCAATGGACCAATCAAGGTTTAGAACCATGCGTCAGTAATAAGCAGCACATAAATCAGTTTCCTTTTTTTACCGTAATTATTCAAAGTGGTCATCAATGTCAGTTATAATATCTTAGTTAAAAGCAGCCAATGCATTGCTCAGGTATGCCTTACAGCTTGCACACGTCGAGCCAATATAACACCATCTCTAAATTTGTCTTGTATATTAATATCACTAATTTCTGATCAAGCTTCAAGTGGGCTTTCCCTCTTGAAAGATTCATCCCTGGCCACCCCCTCAAATGTGAGCTCCATTTGGCGATGCGGAAGGGAGATTCCTCAGCCCTTCCAGTCATACACCCCCTCCTCGGCGTGATGTTACCGTTACGCACCACTATAATAAACCGAGACGTGACTCTCCGGGGCGAATCCCTGCCTACGTCACTGTTGTCCTTTATAAATAGGCTGAACAGAGAGTCTGCTCAGACTAAAGCAAAACCGTCTTTTTGACTACAACGACTTTTCAGAAGAAGGATTACTGGTTTGCCTCCCTTGAATTTATCTACCTGCACCGAGTAAGTGTTTTATGTGGAGATTTCAAACTTTCGCTTGACTTCGCTTTTTTATGTTGAGCTTTATATAGATTTGATCGGATTGGAATTTTGTGATTTTGTTTCTTTACTTACAAAGATAAAGACAATTTTAAGCGCTTCTTGTCCCCACCGTATCAAGATAGTAATATCCTTTGTTCGGATGCGATTTAATCTGCGAGCACACATTTACGCATGGCGCATCTATCCACAGATCCTTGGTATAAGCAAAATGACTTTGAACAAGGGTGATAAACTGCGGAATATGGACAAGAGGAGGGGAAGCGTGCCGTTTCCCATGAATCTACCCAACCTACACAGGAGAAGCATGCCTGTGGACGACCGGGACCTGCGCACAGCGATGCCACAGACAGGACAACCCGAAGAGCTGTCCAACCTATTGCGCTGCATGTCCTATTCCCCCAGCGAGCAGCACCGGGGCAGCTGCGCATCGGACTCTTCCGACTCTGTCATCTCAACGGGCAGTGAAACAGACTCCCAGGTGTACAAGGTGGTTCTGCTCGGCGAGCACGGCGTCGGCAAGTCAAGCCTTGCGCGCGTCTTTGGAGGAGTTGAGGATGCCGGTCACGACTGCGAAGAAGCAGGTAAATGGTGATGCTGAAAATGAGTCATGATCAACCCACATACATGACATACACGCTCATTATTATCATAGTCTGTAGAGTTATTGTTAAATATTTAGGAGGTTTACAACTGACAGCATGTATGAGCAGGTATTAGGTTTGGCTCCTGGGGAAAAAACTGGCCCTATATGTTTTTAAAGGCAATATAAATGCAATAAATGTGTGAAGTGAAATTGACTAAATCATTATAGGAGAAATAAGCGACAACACACATTCACAACAAATTCAGCTACAAGATAAGAGAGCCTTGGTTTTACTCTATGAATGTGTAACACATTTATTTCCCCCCTCAGGAAACACATACGATAGATCTCTTGTGGTAGATGAAGAGGAAGCTTCCATCGTATTGTACGACATCTGGGAACAGGTAACATGATATACCATTTATGCAGTTCGACCATTGATTATGAAAGCATTTTTAAGAAAGGGTTATCGACTGTTCATACAATTCAACCCTATTTTCCTCTCCTGAAGGATAACAGCCAATGGCTAAAGGAGCAGTGCATGAGGATGGGAGACGCCTACATCATTGTGTATTCAGTCACCGACAAATCGAGCTTTGAGAAGGCATCAGAGCTTCGTATTCAGCTGCGCCGGGCCAGGCAGTCAGAAAACATTCCCATAATCCTTGTGGGCAACAAGAGTGACTTGGTGCGGTCCAGAGAAGTGTCAGTAGACGGTAAGTTGGTGCTAATTGATGTATTGGTGAACTACAAATGTCCATCAGTCAGGGAAATCTGACTTTCCAAAATGGATTCCAAAACCCATGCTGTGTGTAGACTCAAATGCTACTACAAACTGAAGATTCTGCCAGAGCTTTTAAAAAATATTGCCTATTATAACTAATGTGTTCTCTTTGTGTGTGTATTCTGGATTGCAGAAGGAAGTGCGTGTGCTGTGGTATTCGATTGCAAGTTCATCGAGACATCTGCGTCTCTTCACCACAACGTTCAGGCCCTATTTGAAGGTATCGTCAGACAGATCCGCCTGAGGAAAGACAGCAAGGAGGAGAACGCAAGACGCATGGCCAACTGCAGGCGTAGAGAGAGCATCGGGAAGAAGGCTAAACGGTTTCTGGGCCGCATGGTTGCACGCAAGAACAAGAAGATGGCTTTCAGGCAGAAATCAAAGTCCTGTCATGACCTCACTGTTCTCTGAGCAACACATTGGAGAGAAAGACTCTTTTTCTTTGGCCTCTCAAGACCAGATGCTGTGTGTGTTTTAACACTAATCCTAAAGGACTAATAGAGCTGTACAGGATATTTTTCCTTTTGTTTTCTAGACAACAACCAAAAGCAAAGACGGAAGTTAATTAACAGAAATTAATAAAGTTGTTAAGTCACATCATGGTGAAGATGATAACTTGCATGAAGCTTAGCAATTGTTTTATTTCTCTTTTTTTTTTGCCTTAAATATTTTGCTGTCATAATATCATCTTTATGTCTGAAAATCCCTAATATTACAAGTAATGAGTTGCTAGGATTGTTGTGCACCTTTATCTGAGGGGATTTATGTATATACGACACATATATGAATGATGCAGAGTGCAACATACATCTCATTCTATAAGATCACATTAGGTCATCTGGAGTAAAAATTACTTGAAAATGCGGTGCGCAGGTTCGTGCCTTGGCCATGTTTCTGAGGAATCATCAAAGCTTTGACAAAACTTCTGTTATTCTATGTTGTTCCATAACATCGAATTCAGGTTGTGAATGTATAAGTAAAGCAATAAGTTATCTAAGTCTTGTGAACCTTGACATTGTATGAAGATTCTTTGTTTACATTGATTTCCTTTTTCAATAAAAAATCAAATCAAATATCGATGTCCATGTCCTTATTACTACAGTAATATATTTAGAAGAATGCCTCTGAAAGAAAAAAGTAGACTTTTCTCTGTGAATTACATTCTCATGAATATTCATTTGATCCTAACAGTGGAATGGAACCTCACCAGCCACTGATTTCACAGGAAGGAAAGAGGTAGTTAAGCATGTTCTTGAGAAGGTGTTAACCATTAATCCCCCAAAGTACAAGAGCACAGTTTTCCACCCGAATTAAACTTCTCTTATGCCTCTTAGAGGTAGCACACAAGCTATTCGAGAAAGGTAAGATTTAACTTTGTTCAAATTTTAAGAACGACTTATTCCTCTTTCAGTTTTTTTCTTTAGTATTGTCACCATCCACGTTTGTGGAGAACTAATTTGTTGTTGTACACAAACTGTGGTTACTGAGACCAGCATACACTGTAATTTAGCATTGCTGAAAATCAGTATAAATGTAAAATCTTTAACTTTTTTGATTGTTTAGCTGACTGAAATGTTGGATCAGACGTTACTTTTAGTGTTTTTAGGCCTTGGTTATACGTTTAGTTTGTGAAATCTGGCAAACAAAAGAATCCCATGGTGGTGAATCAGTAACGTGAGAAAATTTGTGTTGATTGTTGTTTGGCTTTAAACGCTCTAACCGTGTCAAATTTTTACATTTCAAGGAGCACATGGCTGACAGAGGATTTGCACAAATGTTTATAACACCTCTTATGGTAGGCTTTTTGTTACTTATGCAAGCCAACATGAGATGATCATTTATAGCAGCATATGACTACACAGAAAACAGTCATTATTCTTTAGATTATTCTTTTCTTTCCCAATTTCAGTTGGCAGTACTTCACACGTTTGCACCATGTTCTGCGGCAAATGTTAAAATTGGGGTTCCTGAAAACTACGATGGTATTTTCCCCTGGTATCTAACTAAGGTAAGGCTCATTTTACATGATATCAACAAGTAAACTTGAGTTTAATTCTTTTAATAGAGATTTCATTTTCCAGAATGTTTGTTTCAACTTGACTGTTAGTATTAAATACAACAAAAGTTCAATGTTACAGGTGGAATTAAAATGGGAATTGTAAATTATCATAAATAATCTTTCCAGTTTAGACCATTACAAATGCAAAATTCTCCTCCAAACAGAGCTGTTGGTTATTCTGAGATGGAGAAATTTTTTTATTATTGAAATAACTTGAAAGTAAAAACATATTGGCTTTCTCTTTTATATTTCTACCTATTTTCTGCTCTCAAGGTTGAAGATGTACGAACATGCTGCCGTCATCACTATTCTATTATTGGCATTTTCACAGTGCCTTTCTGGCGTCAGACCCAGACTCTGCTTTTAGTCCAGCGGGGAGGCAGGTGGGGTGGTTTATTCATAGGTGTCACTCAGACACCCCTGGATTGCTCAGCAGCTAGAGAGTATGGCTCTTTAATTGGCGATATTGTGACGCAATTGCATCTTTTTTCATCGTTATTTATCCAATCCTATTTGTCAGACTTATCGTCATCAACGGAAGATTTTAATAGCCAGCAAGGACGATAAAAAGGCCACTTTTTGCTATGAATGGCATAAACTTAATGGGTGCTTCGGATCTGTTCAAGGTAAAAACCTCTCCAGCATTTCTGCTCATCAAAGAGGAGACCACTTGTGAGTTCTCCAATCTTTCTTGAATGAATCATCCTTCAGACCTCGAACTCTTGATACAAAAGCCCTGGAGTCAGTTAATTGTCATGGAGGCTGCTGTGAATGAGAGGCCCAACCATCCTCTGGCTGATACATTTTAGCATAGAAAGGATCTTCTAACCATTATCTATATGATTTAATCCTCCTCAGAGATGAGGGTTATTTTGAACCAATCACCATTACATGCACGTCTTTGGACTGTGGGAGGAAATAATAAACTGGGGGGCTAAGGGAGATCATGCAACCATCACACAGAAAGGTTTCAGTCGAGATTCAAACTGGGAATCTTTGCTGTAAAAGCTGAGAGTCGTAAAACCTTTAAAGAATTTAAAGCTGGTGTTCTACAATTGTGGGAATGATAATATTGGACTCCACATGTTAAGTGTTAGATACCTCAGAATGAATAACAAACAGCAGTCAATTGTTTATCTGTTAGGGATCTTTTTTATAGTAAGGAAGCCCAGTCAGAGATCCATGAAACCTGAGAAATAAGTCAAAAGTGTATTTTAAATCCCATCTGATGTTTGAAACAATACCGGAGAGAAGACACAGTCTTGGAAAAGTCTCAGCATTATGTTATGTTATTCATATGTGGAGAGAGGGTTAGGGATGTGGAAAGTGACTCATCTGACGCCAGATTTGTACATGTTGACTTTCAAGACCACAAAACAGTACACAAGAGCAGCTCCGTGGACATAGTCAACATAGTAAACAAAAACACGAGATGCACACGTACCAATCAATGATGCTCCAAGTCTTATCGATTGCACATGAACACACAGACTGTGCCCAGTCTTGATATGCACATTTGAAATGACCAGTGGGTTTTTAATCCATTGGCGTCATTGTAACATCAGAATTGTCAACAGTTATTAATGATCCACACTTACTGTTGATTGTGGTCTCTTATCTTATTTTTTCTGTGGGAAAGGAGAGAAAAGCTACACCAGTAGCTGTACTGTCTCACTGGTCAACACTTCACCACACAGGGGCATAAAGTTTTATTTTAACTAAACATTTAACGGACAGAGTGTCACAGGGGTTAAATTTAAAAGAAAAAAACAAACACTGAATCTACTCTGACAATGAAGAAATAAATCAAATCACCACACGATCATCTGTTTAGTCTCGCTACTCTGAACTGCTTCTATTTAGAGACAAAACTTCCTAATGTGTCTGCTGTTTTGTTCTCTGGACAGCTCCACAACCTGCCGACTAATTACAGTGACCTGATGTTAACGGGAGATGATGAGGGCATATTTGGAGTCGATGCCCAGTTTCTGTACGCTATAAAGCCGCTGGACAGAGAGAAACAGCCCTCTTATTCTCTGCAGGTATTAAAATTAATTACATTTCATTAGCAGTCGGTTTTCTGTGGATAGCTGTGGTCAAAGCCTAATTGTTACAAGCTTCAAACTCATTCCTGTCTGGTTGTTTGTGCTGAAGGTGTCCTTCAGACCCTCAAGCGTCCTTCAGAACATCAGAACTTCGGTGCCTCGTCAGAGCTTCACTGTTGAAGTGTGTGTCATCGACAAGAATGACAATGTGCCCACATTCATAGAGGAGAGCATGAGAGGAAGTGTGCAACTTGGGCTTCTAAAAGGTACAAGGACCTCAAGCACTGACGTGCGTATTTCTATCCATGTCACATTTTTAGTTCCTGTGTGTCATAATTAACGACAAAGATATGCCCAAACTTTAGAACAGATTTCTCCCTGGAAAGACAGCATAGAATTAAACTTTTGTGTGTTTTCATATGTTTGAGACTTCATCATTATTATACATTAATACAATTGTGTGTATATATATTATATGTATTTTTATATGATATATTTTTTGTTAACTTTTTTCAAGTGAATCAGATTATAACAATTTATAAAGACCATTAGAGCTTGAATATCACTGTTTTACTGTATGTATATATATATATATAGAGAGAGAGAGATTTTTTAAAAACACATTTTTATGTTAGATATATATATATATTCTTTTATTTTTTCTTCAAATTGTGTAACATCATGCAAACCGTTTTTTTAATAATATTGTAACTGATACATTTTTATAGCACCCACGAGGCATAAACCATGATCAGTATTCGCTGTACAGATCCAGAGGTTAATGTATTCTGTGGGGCACTTGGATATAAAAAAATGGCATTACTGCAAAACAAATAATTCTTTCATTTCTTTCATTCATTTTTCAGGCATCCCTTTCATGCAAGTGGAGGCGCTGGATCGTGATGAACGCAACACCGCCCACGCTGAGCTGCGGTTCAGCCTGATGGAGCAGACACCCAGGATTCCCTCCAGTCAAATGTTCTTCATCGACTTCATCACTGGGGAGGTTTCCCTCACTGAAGAAGGTCAGTCCCCCCCCTATGACTGAAGGAGGGGAGTCCAGATCAAAAAGAATGAAATATCCATCTCCTTTTTTTGACTGCGTTTTTGGCATTGGTTGATGCTGTGTATCAATGCCTGGGGCAGTTTCAACACATCAGAAAGGCAGCTGGTCACGTAGAACTTCTGTCTGATGAGCCTTCTTTGTTTCCCTCAGGAAGAGAAAAAAACTAAATGATGTCAGAGTAGTGTTCATAAGGATTTCTCCTGACCATTGCCATGGAAACATGGCTGTCTTCATCTTATTCACATTTTATTCTTGACTAACTGGGAAATTACAAAGGAGTGCTTTTCCATTGTGTAAATGATTTCCACTCATCCTTAAAATACTTTTGGCTTCGTTATTTTTATTTTTTTAACATAACTAGCCATTAACATCTTGTTAACCTGAAAATTGCTGTCTAAATTGCATCTCCATGCCAACTCTCTGCCCTGTGTGGTGGCTACTTAGGATGAACAAGCACAGCACTCATTGCTTTAAAACAACATTCTGTGCCTTTGTGCCAAATTGCTTTAGTAGCACTGTGATCAATCAAATGAACTGAACTCAAATGAAAACTGAGATTGGCGCCACACTGTTTCTGTTTTGCTATTAGGAAGCCAAATTACAAAATGGCAATTGTACTTGGATTGTTTCATGAAGGCAAGTCAAGACAAAGAAACGAAAAAATGATAATTTCATGTTATACTAATAGAAATGTAAAATATCACATAAGGTATCTGTATTGGACCATTTAACGATAATTATTCTAAAAATAAAAACTCTATTTCACAGAACGATCAGCTACGCAAAAACATGACCATAGAAAAAAAAGAAAAAATAGCTACCAGATATGAAAGCATTCGGCTTTACAATATGTTACAAAGCAACTGAAATATGCCAGAAATAGACGCTTAAGATGTGCTTCTTTGTTCTAACAGACACACGTACCACATTCACATCCAGTGAATTCTTGTGTGCTGATGCTATTTCTGTAGGACTGGTATTTCCCTTTGTCACAATTTGACAGGAGTAGGATGACTTTCACACTTGCAGGTTTTTTTTCGGCCCACACTTCTGCTCATTTCCACGTGGCTGTGATAATAGAAAATTGCATACTTCAGTTCTTATTTCCAAACCATCTAAACCCATTTAAAATCAGCTCCACGGTGATCTTTGCCCGTTACGTCTCTTCCATTTTTGCATGTGATGAAAACAACACCCAGGTTGTTTATTGAGATTGGGGCTTATGTTTTCACACGTTTATATCACATTTTCATGTTTAAATTGAATTAAACGTGTTTCTCACATTCTCTGAACAATCCAAATTCATAAAATAAAACAATAACAGTACATGCTTGCTGTTGAAGCTTTTTCAAGGAAGCTTTCATAAAAACATAAGAAAATCTAACTAAAATACAGTACTAATGTCTTATTAACTGTGACCACCAGGAGCCTCTACTCTGGACCCAGAGATGTGTGGCCGTTACAAACTCTCAGTGATGGTGAAGGACATGGCCGGGAAGGCAAACGCCTTCTTCACCACCGGCCTGGTCACTGTGGAGGTGACCGGAAACACCTGGGCATCACCCGATCCTGTGAGACTTCAGGAGAACCTCCCAGGGCCTTACCCCATACCCATATCACAGGTGAGGCAGCTCATCCTGTCCCACGTTAACACAAATCGCTTATGCATTTTTAAAATGGAGACATCAATTAGAAAGCTCTGACTTCAAACAGAAATCACAGAGGTAACCTGATGAGAGAGAGCTCTCGTATTACGCTAAACTGTCACATTTATTAAATCAAGTTTCTGTTTTTTAAAAAACAAAGCATTGTAAATGGTCTGTACTGAGTAATGTGGTGTTACTATGCCTCCTAAGTGACCAACTATTAAATAATTTATGCTCTTCAAATGCCATGAATCAGGCTACCTCCAGACTTACTCACATTACCTCACTCACTGCTGCCCACTATGTGGGGCATGATACAAATGGTCATCCACTGTTCAATATACTGTATCACAGGGTATTCGCTATTCCAGTAATATTTGTAATGGACAAATTGGAATAGTTTTAGCTAAGTTACAGTTACCAATTTCATTTCCAATTGAGGTCATGACACATATTTTGGCTTCACAACTGGATCAATTAAACCAATAACACAACTTGCACAACTGTACTGATAAATTGAAGTAAATCCTCAAGTTTAATGTTTTCTTATCCGCGAAAAAGTGTATGATATCATTCCTTAGATTGAAATAGTTGCATTGGTCAGAGCACAAAATGCGTGATTATGTCTATTTCTTTAAGATTTTAAATTGCTGGATCCCTGGGCTCTGCCCTCTCAGCAGTGCCACACCAGACAGCAGAGGAAACTGTTGTGGACTGTGAGAAACAAAAAGGAGCTCAATTATCTGACTCTCACAGCCTCTGGCCATTTCTTCAAATGAGCACCAGAAATTCTCAGGAGAAAGGGCAAATCTGGACATCTTGTAGACCCCCTTCACGCATTTCCTTCGCAGCAGGAAACTCTCTTTCAGTGCTGAGCTCTCATTTATGAAAAAGCCAGGGAAAGAGTGGGGGAAAAAACATACTGTATGCCTCTGGCACAAAGAAGGAAGCACCTGATGCAGGAATAAAGGCTTCCTTTTATTCCCAACATGTTGAAGATAACAGATAAGACCCCTAGTTCTAGTCAATATTGCTTGTATCTGTATCCAAGTGAGGAGTCTGTAAAAGATTGCATACAGATCATCAGCAAGTTGTCTTCCTGTGATCTTGGCTCGGTTAAATTTTCTGCCTATTATAATCTTAGCCACAAGAGCTTCATGTCTATGAATAACCCAAAAGCCCTCAGACGTTTCATAAAAAATTGAAAAGAATATCAGCTAAAGGTGGGAGTTATCCTTTGTTTTTCTTAAATGGAGGTCTGCATGGTAAAAAATAAATTAATCAATTAAAAAAAAAATTACATTTCTATTAATTCAGTCCTGTAAACTGTGGAAACAAAGAGTGTTGATGGGCTGATTCAGACTGAATCAAATACATTGTGTCTATTGTGATGGACACTTTGGCCACAAGGTACACCACAAATCCTCCCCCTCCTCCTGTTTTTCTCGCACATCCCCCACACTCACCCTCAGCCTCTCATCTCTCCTGGTTTTCCATCCTCTTCCACCCACTGAAAATGTGTTGATTCGCAAGCGTTTAACCATTTGATCGTCTTTCAGATATTTTCACAGATTAATGCAAATCTGAAAGCAGGTTGAAGCTTCGTAAAAAATGCTTTATGCAAAATGCTTTATTCAAAATATCTCTAAATGTAAGCAAGGCTGTCTGGGAATTCCTCTGCAAGTACATTCCCTCCACATCCAATTCATCAAACGTATTCAGAGAATGAGGAATGAGGGCTCTGACACTCCACAAGTGAAATTATTTAAATCCATTTGGCTAAATTGTTCCAGTAGTCCTCATTCAGAATCTAAATCGCACCAAAGCTGACATAGTGTTTTACTTGGGGGAAGCCTCATGTCACCCACGCAGAGCGATGGTAGTGCTGTGCTCAGTGGGAGGTAAGACTAGCTCTTCTTATGATACATGCAGAGATCGGGCCTGTGCAGGTTTACACTTCCACTCTGTTATCTGTGGTATTTTTTCTTGTTGTCCAGAGTTCTGGTTATGCAATGCAATTATTACCTAAGTACCTTGGTTCAGCAACTGTCAATTGAGAGTTGTGGAGTAGGTGATGGGCCACTGTGCCTGTGAATGGTTGAGTCAATACTCTTAAATGCAACAAATCATCAGTTTATATATACATGAGTACATTTTTTGGGATGTTTCAGTAACAGGGCTGGCACAAGTCATCAAATCATGATTAAACTGCTGAGCACTACCATTTTGAATGTATTCTTTGTGACAGCTATTCTCAAAATGACTCTTATATGAAAGGAGTTGTGTAATATATATATACAGTAAAATGACTCACTGCCCTGACATGGATTTGACATAATTTCACATTTGAAAAAAGTAAAGACAACTGAACTGCTTGTAGAATTTTATGAAAGAACTCACAGCCTGACTTTGACAGTTAAACAGTCAGGTTACATTATGCAAGCACCCCATGCAAATACAACATTCATGGGGGGTATCAAACATAGGGCAGTTTAGCAACAAAGTTACATTTGGAGGGAAAAGAAGTAGAATCTTACAAAAACAACCCTATTCAGTTTGATACAGAGATGGAGGGACCATGCTTTGGTTTCTTTTAGCAGCGACTCACTCTGAATACCTCTAGACAGGGTTAAATAAAAAAATTAAAAAAACATTCATTCTGGATCAGCTAAATGAAAATAGGATATTGTCTTCAACAATAATCACAGCACTTCTGATTTTAGCATGTCTCCTGACCAAAACATCATGGAAAATTTGTGGGAAGTTCTCAGCGGAGGAGAGAACAAAGAACAAAGTGGAAAGACTGTTCGGACGGAGGAATGAGCAAAAATAAACAAAACAGTTTCTTACAGGCTCTCAGTTGGCTCCAAAATAGGTTTTCAAACTGTAATATTTGGGACCACAAAGAGTTCTTTGTGGTCACAACTATTAAACTGTCGCCTAAGGCCCTTTTCCTCTTGTTTACCATCCCAGTTTTCACATTAAAACTAAAAGAAATGGAAATGCACAAAGCACTTTTGCTTGAATAATTAAAACAATGCTGGCTTACTGGTTGTCTTTATACCTTGAGGAAAACAAGTATCATTTGTCTTTTACTGAAAATATATTTTAGGATGAAACTCATCCATTCTGCAGAACTGGGTCTTATTAGTTCATCTGTAAACATAAAATGCTTCATGGGGAGTGTGGTCATCTGATATTATTTTAGTGTGTGGAGAGTTTATATGAGATCAAATGGTTTAAAAGCTCTGGTTTCCTAATTTCTTCTTAAACACCTTTAATCCTCTGCTTTTTAGATTGAAGCAAAATAATGACAAAATACACAAAGTTTATTCATTTTTTTCAAGTTAAGTCAACAGCAGTTGTTATTGTTCAGACATTTGTTTATATTTTGTCTTACAGGAAATAGATGAGATTGTGTTCCTTTTAAGATATCCTTATTGGTAATGTTTTATTGGCATTGTAATATCTATTCTATGTTTTAAAAGAAAGCAAATTTGTTATCAGTGGTACAATTGAAGTTATTCCCAAATTAATATCTATTAATATCTTTTATCATGTCCTCTTACATAGTCTCTTTGACTTCATGATCATCTTTGAGAAGCGTGTCTTTGCCTGAAATACAGTAGTATACAGTTTCTGAATATCAGAACTGTTAGATAATAGTCTTTTTTTCTTCTCTCAAAAAAGTGATCCTGCTCTCAATTTTAAAAACCCTCTGATGTTAAGGTCCAATGCCGGGCTTTGTAGTGTCTTTTCAGCAGCTGATTTCTCTCCAGCCTCTGCTCAAGTAACGCTCATAAAAAGACACGGTCTACCCTTGGCGTAGCTCAAGTACAAGCTATCAGGGGAGACAGAACGTGCTCTGAAAACTAAAACACTGACCAAGCCAAAACAGATGATTTCATAGATGTTTTTCTCCGTAACTTTAAATAGAGCAGGTCCGCGGTTATCAATCTCATTTTCTTTTAAGATCTAAGGGGCATGGAAACACCATAACACGGTGAGGCAGCCAGATGTGTGGACTGGCTTTGTATATATAAAACCCTTCCATTTGGGCAGCTCTATCCAAAACAACAGGGGAGTGTGTGACAGCGAGCTGAGGAGATGCATATGCCTCGCGGGCGGATCAGCTGTGCTATGACAAGGGCTCCTGTCCTTGTTGGGTGCTGTTTGTAGGCTACCAGGGCTCTTTCAGCCACTCCGCACAGCTCCTCTTTCAAGGGGTTGTAAAGCAGAGTGGAAAATCCCCCTTCTGCCTGCACCGTTAGTTTTGGCTGTGCTCTCTGTTCCCCATCATTGTCATTGCGTTAGGTTGGCTCCCTGTCATGTAAACAAATGATAGCTTGCTTTTGTGGACGGGCCCTCTAAAAGAGTTTGTTGGAAATATTTCTTGGTTTATTGATCGGTGCTTTAATAAGTGAATCTGTGCACACAATCAAATGTTTAAATGTAAGCGTGTGTGTGTGTGTGTGTGTGTGTGTGTGTGTGTGTGTGTGTGTGTGTGTTTGTGCGTGAATCAGGTCAAATGGAGTGGAAGTCAGGCAGAGTACAGTCTGGAAGGGGAATTTCCAGAGATGCTGTTCACCATCAGCAGAGAAGGGGTCATTTATCTCAATGCCCCCCTGGACAGGGAGACACAGGACCAGGTATGTATGGTAACTGTAAGCTGATTATCTTTAGCGCTTCACAACAAATCCAAAACCGGGGCGTTCTGAACAACTTCAGTTAAAAAAAATAAGATTAATCCATTCTCCACTCTGATATGTTTAAGATGTGATCGCAGATTTAAACTTTCAGCTTGCAGAGATCAGAAGCTCGTTAAGTTGTAGTTTTTAGTTTATCCGCTAAATCTAAAGCCAGCAGAGAGAAAGCCACTTTAATTAACTCTCCTAATGTCCTTTATAGCTTTCAAAGAACCAATACTACACATTAGCACTATAAAGCTGAGCGCTGAGCACATTTCTATTTTTAAAATAAATACAGGTAATCAAGGAAACAACCTGACACTTAAGAACCACAGCTTTGTGCAATTAAACATATTTTGGCTGTGGCACAAAGATTGTCAAAATTTTCCCGGGCTAAAAGGTTTGCTTCTTATTTTGCTCTCTTGAAAAGGGAACATAATATGTGTGAGAACAAAAATACAGTTTTTCACTGCAAATTTACATACAGCTAAAGCTCCTGAGAGCTTTGAATGGTTCAGTGAACGGGACATTGTGACACAAATACTCAAGTGGGCAAAGCACAGCAAAGATAGACGATGCAACATCACTGGATTTGATCAGTGTTAAAACCCACACTGTGTTTCTCCAGTGACCATTTCAGAAACAAATTCAAATGCTTTGCCAGCTGGATGCCTTTTGAAATAGCATAGTACGTTGTTGACAATAAAACCACTTCAGATAAGATCAATTCTGTTTTTTAGCTATGCTCTATAACGCTTTGTGACTGAAAGGTATATTTAATGAGGGACAATTATGACTCAGAAAAAGAAAATCAATTTGACGCATTTTGCTTCTGTGTTTCTAAGTGACGGAATAGCTATAAATGGATCCTTACCATAAAAAATTGCTATGTGTCACCATCTGACAAAAGCACATAACAGAGAAATACCCTGCAACAGAAATGCATCCCATCATACAATGGCCAGGGAAATCCAAACAGTGTCACTTGTAGATTCTGTAAACTGATTTGGATGCAATGCGTTACCTGATCAGAGGTCATTCTGTGAAACTCCTGCCTGACCATCTGACCTTATTTTTCCTTATCAGTTCCAAATAAGCATTGTGGTTGAGCGTCCAGATGGCAGAGAGATCGCCAAGCCTGTGGAGCTGAGGGTGATGGTGGGGGATGCCAACGACAACAGACCCACCTTTCCACAGGCTCAGTACCACACGGTGGTCAAGGAGCTGGCTCCTCGGGGTAACTGACAGACGTTCAGACATCCCAGATTATCAAGTGTCTCACTTTTAGCATTTGACACCTTTGCTTTGTCTCGTATTTAATACAATAAAAGGTTTGAATAATTTGCAAATCTTTCCCAACATTTTTTCTTTAAAATTTTAAACCTGATTTTGTTAAGTTAGTTATTATGTTAAATCAATAGCAAGGATTTTGCTTCACAGTTATGTAATGCAAATACATCATGTGTGCGAGAAACCTTTAGAGAGAACATTTCAGGTTTCTTTTTATTTGCCAGGATACAGGGAAAGCACCCTCACCCTTCCCTATCATCATAAAAAGCACATGGTGTGTTGTGATATCTGAGGTCCCGGCATAAAAGCTTTTTTGTTGATGCTTTTAGAGCAATTTGATTCTGGGAAATGAACTAAACAGGACAATCTGTTGATCTAAATGGAATTACTGAGTGAGGATTAAATGAGGGGGCTTTTGTTATATCCTTCATTGCCTGCTCTCATTCAGTATGTAAGAGACTGGAACATATTGCAGAGAAAGTTTCACAGTGTCACAGAAAAAGAAAAAACGGCCTCACGTGTGAAATCAGGGAGACTTTTCTAAAATGAAAATCTTTAACAAGTGCACATTGAAAGATAATTGAAAATGTAGACTTTCTAAAATGGAAATCTATAACTGTTTCAAATTAAAAGATAGTTGAAAATTGTTGAAAACACAAGTGTCCTTTTTTTCAACAAATCTGACACATCAATTCAAATGTCCTGCTTTTACTTTCCTTTACTGGTGTAATGTATCTATCCCCAGGGACAGAAATCCTGACAGTGCAGGCAGCCGATAATGACGATCCCAAGACAGACAATGTTAGAATATTCTACCGTTTGGTTGGGCAAATTCCAGAGAGTCCTCGTGCCCTTTTCAGAGTGGACCGGGACTCGGGCGTCATCTCTGTCCAGGCAGACAGTATGGAGGGAACAGCCCCACAGTACACCCTCACCATTACGGCAGAGGATGCCAAAGGTGAATATCAGAATTTTAAAACTAATGCCTTCCTTGTGGTTAGATTTTTGTTCCACATCATAACACATCATAAGTATGCACTGGATCAAAAAGGCTCTTTGAGGTCATTTTGCTGAGATCTTTCGCATAGATCTGGACAGGAAAGTGAAATCATATTATCAACTTCAGAAAGGGGTTAGATGCAATTGATATTTTTCTTTTTTTAGAACTAACTTTTGGTGTACATGCACATCTGTTGTAGTAGCATTTAAATTTACATGTTTTACCCATTTTAAAAAAATGACATGATGATGAGAAAAGAAATGATAAATCAACAGAAGATGTTTAGAACCAAAGTCACTTATTTGATTAAAAGTTATCCAACACAGCTTATGCTAAAGTTACCATCTTTTGTGATTATTTTTATCATATAGATCAGGAAAAATTGAATAATTTAAATAGAGTAGGTTTATAGAATGCTGCATTCATTCATAACTGCTTGACTTAAAAATTATTTCAAATGATCCTTTACTTTTATGACAGAGGTTTCTGTCAGCTAAACTGCAGGTAGTTATGACGGAGAAGGACGACATTGTTTAAGCAAGTGATGTTCCGAGGGTTATCTCAATGAAAATCACAAGCTTTCTGTAAAGTGCGTCTGTAGCTACATTGACGTGTGGGAGTCAAACGGTCGTATAGATGTTAGCCTCCTGGGTGACAGATGATGTGGCCTGCATGACTCACGAGTTAAGGGTGTGATGGAAGCAAGATGAGGTACTTGCTGTTCCTAGAGCATATTTCATTCGTGCTAAGGGCTGACCCTGAGTCACTAACGGAGGCTGTGATGATGTCCCTGGCAGGTCTGAACAGCTCCTGCACCGTGGTGGTGACCGTGCAGGATGAAAACAACAACCCACCAGTCTTCTCGCAACATGAGGTATGACAGCACACGTTGAAACCGATACAGTCCTGATGCGTCTTTTGGGGTCTTCATAAACACGATTTTTGAGAGAAAAGCAGGGCAAAATGATCATGACAAGCAGTCAGTCACAGCAGTGTTTGAGTGTTTAATGACGCTGATCCAATTGTCCCGACAGGAAACAAGACATGACTACTGATCTTGGTCTTAGAGTATTTTGTGCTGGAAATGAACATTGAAAACAATTCATGTTTTTAGAGTTTAATCTGATTAGGCTTTCTAAAGTGTCAGCTTTTTTAGTTTCAGCTAAATTGGCATCACAATTCATTGCTAACTATCAATTATTTAATTGATTAATCAATGTCTTTTCAGGGATTATTTATCATTGCACATTTATTTACCTTAATCTCTATTACATCCTCATTTAGATTTAATTTGCAGTAACAGCAGTACCATTTACGAGCTATACACAGTATGTTTTTTTTGTCTCTACTCATCCAGTTGACCAAGGTGACATTGTTGCTGCAGTCCTAAGCTCAGCATGAAAAGGAGCAGTCGCTTTCCAATTTTCCAGCAAAGCTGTTGGTGTTAAAAACAAAATACACAGTAACAGAAGATCCCCTCACTTCTACCCACACGGGCTGCACAATAGAGGAAGGGACAAAAAAAAATCATCAGGGATGAGATTGATGTGGGAGAGGCGTCATGCTGTGATAATTGGGACGCCGTCTCGGGCTATTCTGTTAAGTCTAAGTGAAAAAGCACAGGCATGATGAGCTGTGGAGGAATGTCTTAATTTGCCTGATGTGTGATTTAACAGTAGATGTAAGATGTGCAACTAAATAACAAATGTCTAGACCAAAAGATAGATGTATCTACCTTTTCTGTAAAGGGAGTGACAGTGACAAAAAAAACTATGAATTTTTCATGTGTTCTTTTCCCAGTATTATGGTGGTCCCACTGAATATAACCTCATGACTGGGATGATATAAGGTTTTAGAGAGATGTATTACTTCAATTGGGTTAGAAATACATTTAAAGCCCCAGAACGTCCTTGACTTTACAAATGTGGCCACTTCTAGCTCCAAAAAGGCCAAAGCTTGTATCTCACAAAACAAAAGATGACTTTATAGTCACATCCACAAGATTTAAAAAGACAGACTTAAATACAGCTACTGCAGAATCTGTGTTTTGCGTGGCAACTTCCACTGGTATGTTGCGATTTATATCCCTTGCTGTATAAAATATGCGTCCATCGAACATCGCTGAGTTTTCAAGCAGTGAAAACAAACACTCGCTCAGATAATGGTTACCACAGCCGCACGCATACACACACAAACACGGAGGTGGAAAATGCTCTTGAACAGGTCACGCCTGAGGAGAGCAGCTTTTTCCATGGCAATTTGAAGGCTGTTGGGGGTGATGTGGGAAGTGAGTGGTGACAGAGCTGGGTTCAGCATTACTTTGGATGGGCCAGCCAGATCACAGGCATGGCTGCTTCACTGGAGGACGTCCGTGAGTGGCAGATTAAACGGCTGTCTAAACACACAGAGGTTGGTGAATAAAGGTCACCTCGCACCAGGAGGGCAAGAGGGGCAAAACATACTCTCACATGTGTTGCAGCATTTCATCTCAACTGAAAATTGAACGCTCAGTCATGCGTGACTTTTACTGGTGAGCACAAAACAGCAAAACCTACAGTGGTCAGATACTAAAAATGAATATGTGAGTACATGATATTTATAGCAGCTGTTACAGCAAATTCAGTTTAGAATAACATGTTGATATATATTATTTAGAATAATTATCACAATTGGCACACACGCCTGTATTAGCCTTTTACGGGGAACACAAACAGTATTCTGCAGAGGAGGCTTTGTCATATGAACGCTTCCTGCTTAGTAATCGTCCATCTTCTGTTTCCTCTGCATTAGTATGGACCTTTTCACATCCCTGAGGATGCTCCAGTGGGAACCACAGTGACAGCCTTGCTGGCAAGAGATGCAGATGTTCGAGGCGGAGACAGCTGGCAAGTGAACTACCGTTTGGACTCTGGGAATGAAGAGGATGTCTTTACATTAGCGACAGACACGCAGACCAATGAAGTCTCACTTGTGCTCTCTAAGGTGAGCAATGTGTGTCATCTTACTCCGTCTGTTTGTGCACATTTGACCAGGCTAATGACTGTTTGCCCCGCATACCAATATAACTCAGTGTCACCTCATTTGTGTCAGATCCAGATTAAAACTGGCATGTTGGCTTGGCTTTGTCCTTAGCGTGTGCGTGTGTTTGCATGTGGGCAGTCCCAAGAGATCATTCAGTGGCTGACCGTGGCAAAATTGGAGTCACGTAAAACTGCTGTCATTTTATGAGGTCATGACTTTAATGTAACAATGTGTACAACTAAAAGAGTGAAAGAAAAGATCATTCCAGTATGTCAATACCTCAGTCTCACATGTCTCCGATATAAATAGAGCTCTGTTGACAATGGAATGCTTTCTTTCAATAATCCCTCCTGTCCCCAGGGAGCATCACCCTCTGCCTGCATCCTATAATCCGGCAGGGCATTTTTGGGAGGAATGAGTGTGTGTGTCTCTGCATTTGAGTGTGTGACTCCAATGGTCTGCTCACTGTAAGTGGGCCAGGCAGGAGACACTCTATTATTTCCATATAACCTCTCTGTGAGAGAATGAAAGTGATTGAACTGGGAGTTGCACACGGGTCTCTGAGATAAAGCAGATGTCCAAAGCTTAAAAATCAATCTTTATGAATTATTTCGGACTGAGGCTCTGTTTGAAAGAGGTGATGTCATGTCTTTTTGGGAGTCTGTGTGAAAAGCGCATGTCCTGACCTTGTGAGATATAACTGGGACTAACTTTGTTTATCTAACTTACCATCTAATGGAGGCCTAAATCTTTAATCAAGTGAATCTTAACTCCAGTGAAGCCCCTGTGGATCATGACAAAATAAGTAAATCCTTTATTTCATTGAGTTACAGTGTGAGGTCAGAGTCAGAAAGCAGACTCATTTAATAATTGACATTGTACAGTGCTCATGGAATAAGTGAACAATTAGCATGTGTGACCAAACAGTAAACACTATGAGGTTAATATAAATGATGACCAAAGAAAGAGGACATTTTCCTGAAAAGAAATGCCTTTAAATGTAATTAAACTTGAGAGCACCTTCTTATCACTACCATACCTGTCACAGAAAATATTGCATGTTTATACTCCAAATAAGGATACTTCATACAGAGGATTACCAGATTAAATACCACATGCACACAGGGTTACAAAGCAATAAACAAACATGTTTTCGTAGGACATTTAACAGCCACTGAATTTGCTCATCCTCAGTGCCCCCTATAAAAAAGAAACGTAAAGAAAAAAAAAAGTGGAGTCCTGCCAAGACAGACTGTAGCTATGGCTGCAGACATGAACACTGGCTGTGTCTGCAGCCACACTTCTGTCATTCTCAGAATTATGTCTCACTTTTTAAGAGATGCTAAATATTGCGCGGTCAGTTTGTGTTTAGGCTGTGACTGTACTCTGAAATGGCTTTATAATTCTGCCACGCGTCTGTCACGTCAAACTTTCATGTGACGGTATTCCTGCAACTCGACATGTGGAGAGTCACACGGGCTGAAGTGCAGCATAAGTCTGAAGCAAAGCATCACCCCTCACAGTCCAACGGTGAAGCAAAAGCATGGCCAGCTGCTGCTCACTGTCACAGATCAGTCTTCTAAAGATGAGTCACGAGCCCTACGTGCCTCCCGTATAGCTAAAACTGTCTCTCTTTTCCATACTGTCCTTTGGCAGACTTTGTGTTACAAAGGAGCGGCATACTGACTCGTCTTCTGATTTAAAAAGAGTGCAAACAAATGCCACCAGGAAATTAAAAAATCAGTGCAAATGAAAATTTACTCGACACAAACTGAGGTTGGAACGATTGAAAATGATGCACATGTGAAAGGTGAACACTTCATAACAAGTTTTCACAGAATTTTATTTATCGAAAAGAAAACCCTCCTGCTATTTCTATTTGCGCTCCAGAACTGACACTTCTACTTCTGATTCCAGCTGCACTTTGGTGTTGTTTTGGCAGATTTAGCACCTGTTATTTGGTGACTATCTCATCATGGTACAGAATGAAGCCACAAAAAGAGAGAGAGGGGCTATGCAATGCAAAGATTGATCCGTCTCAAAAGCACCAACACTATTGACACTTTGACACCCTCATCATGCTCTTTATCTTAAAAGGCCAGATGCTTAATAAGAAGGTGATTTTTTGGGGGATAAGGGTATTCCTGTAAAGCAAGCGTTTACTGAAAGATGACTCACACTTTAGACTCAAAATAAAGTATGTTGTCATCATTGTGTGAGATATTTGAGTAATATGGCTGTTCGGTAACCTGCATACAGTCATTTTCTGATAAACGTACACAAGTTGAGTTCTTGGATGCGTCACTTGAATTCAACAGCACTCATCTATCTTCCAAGGTTTGCGTTACTTCTCCGTGGCAACAGAGACACAATGTCGTAGCAGCATGATTTCAGGCTATGCTTTTGTTTAATATATTTGTTTTATTAGAGGGCTGAACTAAATCAGCTGAACACAAAGCAAATGTGGACATCAGTCTGCGATTCAGAAGATTCAGTCGTCATTTCTTTCATCTGGACTCTTTTAAGTGTGTGACAGACTTTTACAGATTATTGCAAATACCAGAAAACATTCATCTTTCCACAGCTTTAAGTTACTGGTTTTAATCCTCGAGCTAAATTTAAAGGGACACCAAACAAGAACAATATTTTCAGAATTCAGATTAGACATTCCTGATATATTCTACAACCAATCTTGATGTAAATACAGAACCTGATGCTCCTCTCAGAGAAGTTACAAATTTACAAATTTACAGGAGATTGTTTGGGATTTGCGATTTTGCTTTTTCTTTTTTCTAGTGAAGGTTTTCCCTGATATTTCTGCTGTTCCAGAGGAAGCTTATCCTGCTTGAGTGAGGGACATTGTCACGTTGCAGTTGCACACATGCAGCATCATGGAAAATATTTCATTAAGGACACACTGAATCACCGGCTTTTCCCTGTAACTACAATGTGTGATTCGAATTAGAAATACTGCAGTTCTCTGCCAGCGAATCCAGATTTTTTGGAAGGCCGAGTAGCCGAGTGGACACATGGGACTGTACTGCGGCCTTCTGCTGTGGTAAAGTCCAAATGCCCTCGTATTAGTTACAGGCCGTGGAGATTTCCATCAACCCGGCACTTTTGTTTTTTTGTGTGTGTCACCCAAAATCCAGAAAAGCCAGGAATCAAAATCTTAACCTTAAACAAATCTGAATATTTCCTTATTAAGACATATCTTAGTGTGGCTGCCCATCGCTCTGTCAGTAAATCCCTGTACTGTGACTGAACCGGTTCTGTGATGTTTTTACAGGTGTTGGACTTTGAACGTGAGAGCGAGTACATCCTAGTGCTTAGTGCTCAGAATCCAGTCGCTCTGGTCCGTGGCCGATATGGCCCTGCGTCCTCAGCAACCGTCTCTATTTACGTTGATGATGTGAACGAGGGTCCAATCCTGTCTCAAAGTCATTACGAGGTGACTGTGAGGGAGGGGGAGGAACCAGGACGGGTTATCGCCACTATCCGAGGTTACGACCCCGATTCTCACCCCATAAGGTAACAGGTTCAGGTTGATAATAGTATCACGCATTGATTTTTGTTTTTTTTTAATTGCCCAGAGTTGCCAATGTTTTTTTCTGTGCAGATATTCACTCCAAGGCGACACTAAGAAATACTTCTCGATCGGGAAGTATTCTGGCGAGCTGAAGACTGTGCAGGCCCTGGACAGAGAAGAGAACAGCACGTACACCATGGAGGTCATTGCAGTGGATGGACGTAAGATGATTTCCTCCGTATTCAGTATTGATTAGATACACTCTTACCATGCAGGGTGTACCCCCCTCTCATCCAATGGCAGATGGGGTAGGCCCTCTCTCCTTCCTCTACTCTGAATTTGATTAAGTGGGTATATAACATGGATGGAGGGAAAGGTGAATGAATAGACTCTCTGTTATTGATTAAATCTTTAATTTGGTAGATTTGGATAAGGAGAAGTTAGTTGCCCCAAACAACTACAGCTTTGTACCTTTCTGTTCAGGAAATGCATCTTTGTCTGCATCCACTCTGGTGACCGTCCAAATCTTGGATGTGAACGACAACAGTCCCGTGCTGATTGGAGATTATTCCTGGAAGTACTTGTGCACGCCTCGGTGGGAGGACCAAGCTCTGGTTCTGGCTTCCAGAGACAGCGATGGTCCACAACACGGGGGTCGACTCAATTTCTCCCTCCGGAGCGATGCCACAGTTCGACGTAACTGGAAGCTAACTCCCATTAATGGTGAGGGGAAATCAGACAATGTGGCACACAGTCAAGCCACCAAGTCAGCTTTTCTACATCTTCTTGTTAAGTATAAGGAGCTGAAGTTAACATCCCTGACCACAGGTTTGATCTGGTTGCCTGGTTTTCTAATGCAAAGGCTCCTTGAAAGGAACATATTAGTTGTGCAGTTTTCTCATGTTGGTGATGCAACAGTTGTACCATTGAAAAGCTGTCAGTAAAAAGATTACCTAGCCCACCTCAGAGGGAAAACTGTGAATGTGGGCATGTTTGTATCAGCATGTGATGACGGGAAACAGGACATCGGCTCAAATGTTTCTGCCAAACCTGAAATAATATTTGCCGTTTCACATGTTTCACATAAGCCAAATCTGTGTAATATTCTGTGATTTCTGCCGCTTCCCAGCAAACGGTGAAGCTGCTCTGACATAAGTTATTTTAATGGATAGGACAGATTCAGCCAGGGGGGTGTGCAATGTGACATTACTGATAAATTCATTTTTAAATTGAGCCAGTGGACATCCAGTTCGCCGCTGTGAGCTGAATGTTTGAAATTACCGTGCATGAGACAAACTGACATTTATGGAACCTGAGCGTAAAAAAAATACTGTGATCTGGCTCCTGTCTGAATCATTTTTCCTGCCTTGAATGGGAGGTATAATGTAATCAGGCAATTTTTTTTTTCAGTTTTAAACCGCCAGTGTTGGGTTCATTACATGCCAACTATTTGCAGCTATGACGTCTTTCATTAAGTCATTCAAACGGTTGAACCACTTCCCTCTCAGGTTTTTTTTTTCCTCTTTCTCTTTCACTCCCCTGTTCCTGTTTGGTATTGATTGAGCCAAGCTGTAATTATATCTTCTGTGTAATTTCTTTGGCGTCACTACTGGTTTCCTGACAGCTAATGGGGGGGGCTAAAAGAGGACTCTCCCACAATGCTTTGCACCTGGTCACAGGCAAAGCTGTTATTGTGCCAGTTTAATTTGCACAGTTTTCATGTCACAACCAAAAGCTTTTCATGAAAACGAAAATGTGTGTATGTGCAGCGTCATTCATTTCCAGTCTTTCAGGGCCTTGATGGATATTTTTTTAAACAGAAAACTAGTTCAGGAGCTGGAGTGCTCTTATTCATCCTCTGACATAAAAAAAGAGTGTAGTAATCTAGTTTGTGCAAATGTGTCATGCCTTTTTCATTGTGAAATTGGTCACGGTCACAGAAAACGTTTCTGGGTGGGCCAGTGGGTCATATGTCCACCTTACAAAATAAATAGACACATTGACAGCACACACAGGGGGTCTGAACAGGTTTCATTTCCCGCTCTGACAAATGGAACATGAAGGGTAGTGATAGTAAGGTGCAAGCGCAGAGTTGAGGACTCTCAGATAAGGGTTCAAACAGCCTGATAAGATTTTTCTTCTTACAGGGTTTTTACGTCATACAACCAGGCTTGTATTTTCGACTGATTGACAGAGATAAGATAAAGAGCGACAGGCTCCAGACGACTCCATCCACAGCCCCATCAGTCTTCCTGATTCTGTTTGCTGTGTAGCTATGAAGTTAAATGCTTTTGTTTATATGGGTTCTTGAAAATGCAGAAGTTGCAGAGTATTCTGAAACTGTACAGAGAAATAATTGAATTACCAGTCAGTACGCATTTGATATTGTGATTGTTTTTTTCACAGTTTTGATTACATTTAAATGCCAAAAGATCTCCTTATCAGTCAAGCAAAAGAAGAAAATGTTTTGACTTATGTTCTATCTCATTATTTTCTAACATTCAGACACTCACACCAACCTTTCTTTAAACATCCCATACCTGGCCCCTGAGGTCTACACCGTGCCATTCACCATCTCCGACAGCAGCTCTCCTCCCAGGAGCACCTTCATAAACTTGCCAGGTAATGCTGACACCTCTGCTCATGTTCTGTTGGAAGTGTATGGAGATTATGGGACAGCAGCATAGGAACAATCAATAGAGATCAACCCTGTCATGCCAGCTTGTCCTGGTTGTCTTCTTGTTTGGGAATGATGTGGTCAGGCTTTGCAAATGATTTTTCTCAGGCTCGTGATTACACTCTACACTTACGCTTTACTGGGGCTGTGTTCTACCCACTGCTGACACATTTCAAACCACAGAGAATTAAGCATAACTTCTATCCCAGAGGTTAGCATAGGATGAAGGAAATACGTTTTTTTCTTTGTTTTTTTGTCCTTCAGTATTTTTCTGAAGTATTTTTCAGTATTCTATTTTTGTCTTTGTCTGTTCTTAATTTAAGTGAATATGAATTTATTTTGGATTTTGGAAATATACACTTTGTTTAATTTCCTCAAGTTTTGATTCCATTTGGTGATATTTTATCAATGTCTGGAATGTCTACAGAGGATGTTTTGTAAGTATGTGACTTTGTGCTTCCAAAAACAAGCATCGGTCTGAATGAGATGAATCTCCAGTGAGTTGCGCTGTTTATTTTTTCCGAGCTATTTTGGTCTGCGATGTGAAAGGTTGTGAAATCTTTTGTGTTTACTATTTTCCTCCTCCTGTTAGTGACAGTTTGTCCCTGCAACGTCAGAGGGAACTGCAAAATGGCCGCCAAACCATTGGAAGGCATGCCAACTATTCAGTCGGCAGTGGGAACTCTACTGGGCACCTTTACAGTCATAGGTAAGCAGAGATCCTGGTGAAAGTGTTTCGAATGTTATCATGACACGCTCCTGCACTTGATGTGTTGCAGGGCTTAGGCAATACTGTACTTACAATACTCTATCCATCTGACTCGGAAGTTATGAAAAGAAGTTGTATGTTTTTTAATACTATTATTCTATTGTTTCAGGAACCATCCTCATTGTTATATTTGTGAGACTGTCGTATCAGAATCCCAAACAGCCCAGCAAAACTGACCAGGAATGGGTCCCTCTGAAGACTACTGTCTGATGTGGATGAGGATTATTTTGTCTCTATCATTGTCTGACTATCTGTATCATTAGCATGTGGCACAGTCTACACAGTCTAGTGTTGTGAATTTCTAAACTACAATCATCAGTCATTTAATTAAAGTGCAGGAAACACATTTTAGTTCGGTCTGGTCTATGTAGAGTGCTTAGGCCTGTCCCTAGGACATGATGTTTGCTCATGGTATTGTTTCAGTTTGTCATTCTTTTTTATTTTTTATTATAAAGCTGTTTATTCATTTGGATTATTTTTCTTATCTTTATCACAGCATTACTATGAAAGTATAAGAAATCAATATATATATAGGTGAAATGTTTTTTGATAGTCTCTAATTTTATTCTTTAAATACTAGTTTTTCTGCTGTTTTGACACTGTGTGCACCTGCTAATCATTCATGCTGTAAACACTTGAGATGTGAGCTATGATGTTGCTTCTTTGAGTGCTGATTGTGTTATGCTGTAGCAAAAGATTGTTGGTACATCAGAAATCAGAAGAGAACAATCCTGTAAATGTTATCATATACTGTCATTTCACACATCAGTTGAATTAAACCATGCGGAAAGCACCACATAAAGACCAAATTTCATTAAGCTTCTCGTGAAAACGTTTGTTGTGTTAATTCTTTCTGTAGTGTGTGCTTGTTTGTAAGATGCAGATGTGACCATCTTTGCCCGGGTCGGTGCATCATCCTTCTTTACAGCTTCTGTCTTCCACATAATAAAGCGAAGCTCCTTTGATGTAATGAGACAGACTGAGATATGTAATTGCATTAGCAGTATGTTGCAGTCTCAGTGATTAAGGCTTTTCAAATACTGACCCAGACGACCTAACAGCCAAGTAGTGCTATATTCAGACCAAAGAGTTGCTATGAATAGCCCAACAACTGAAGGTCCACTGAATGACACTCACCCGCCAGTGTCTAATGAGGTAATCACTTCTCAGTGAGCTGACAAAGTTTCATTAACTGCATATTAAACCTCTGTATCAAAAGTATAATTAATCAAAATACCTGCTCATGTGAGGAGAAAGGAGGATCGTTGAAGAAGTGAATGAGTGAAAATCCAGTTCAGCTAATAGCAATATATTTATGGTCTACAAGCATTTAGCTAATGCTTGCTTCAGAAACAAAGCCATTTACACAAGACATTAACATGAGCCCAAACATACTTCTAATTCTAAAAGCTTGTTAGCTCTAAAACCCCATCTTAAACAGTAAAGACTGGTCAGATAAAGTAAACAGGGCATTAAACATTAACATTCTGTGTGATAATAAGCCACTTATTAACAACAATAGGCCCTCAAGACTTTAGCAACTATGAGGATCTGTTCTTTCAATATTTATTAAAACACATCCATCCCAACTTAGTAGATAAATACCTTTAGGACTCAATTACACAAAATGAAAGCACCTTTCTCCACAGCAGGCTTAATTTGTGTAAAGATTAGCAACTGTTTTTCTCTGCCTGGTTAGTATTGATGTCCTGTTTTGTAATAAACCAGTATATACTCATTTGATGTGTGATCAGCAACCATGACGCAAGGGACACCATAGCAATAAAGGAATGAGATAGAATGTGTGAAAATAAACCACATTTACATATACCCCATCACACATACACATCTGTTAAGATCAGATACTCAATTAGGCACAATGTCCTGAGTCACCACATGTTCAGACAATGTTGTTGAAGGCCTATGCACATACTGCACCATTTATATTAGGCTATTTATATCTCTGGCCAACTGCTCCAATCCGAGCAAGTTCCAAGTACAAAAATCAGGATACTGAAAAGCACCCTGAGGGAGATGAGAGAGAGGTGGGGAGGGGATTAGCTTGTGACATGCGGTCAAAGTTACATTGGGGATGTAATGAGCCTTCAACTTTAACCTTGATGTGTAACGGCCCTTGAGAGGACAGTTCCATCTCTGCTGGCTGATTTGGGGTGCAAGGCCACAAAGAGAATTAGAGGTGGGATTTGCGATCGTTTCAAGCAGCTTGGGAAATGAGAGATAACTCACCACATATGGACGGACGCTTGGGACGGGAACAGTGGAGCACAAACCTGTTTTCCCCCAGTGGCGGACCGGTTTTCCATTGCTTAGTAACAGATTCAGACCTCTGTTTTTCCTAATCCCTGCTCCCTGTGGACTGAGTTTCCCCACAGCTTTGCCTATTTTAAGCTTGTTTTAAGATCGCGCAGTTTCCCTCTGACTCAGAACTTTAAAGTTTCCCTATCAGATGCTGGACACTTTTAATACTGATCAGCCCACCAGCATCTGGCTGTTTGTGTGCAGTGGGAAAGCGTCTAACTGGTATTCCCCCCCTCATCAAACGTCAGCCTAGCGTGTGGGCTTCAGCCACTTCTATCAGTGGGACCACAGCACCGAGGTCCAGCAGCTAATAGTCCCTGAGGATGCTGCGGTTGGAGCAACTCACTGAAGCAACTCACTTTTTTTTTTTGTCAGAAAACTTTTTGCCAAATGTAATGTCTCACATAAAGGCCTGAAGCCGGCAGTTTATGATAGCACTTTGCTCTTTTGTGTCATGCTAATAAGTGTATAGTGCCATCCAAAAAATGTAAAACTTAGCCTAATATCCTAAAGAAAATCAGACATCCTTGTCCAACATCAGCCTTAGACTTCATAGCACCCTTCAATTGGTTGGAGGTCCGGCATTTGAAAATCTGTTAGTATATAAACTTCAGTCATTTTCCATATTTTGAGGACAGGTGATTATTCATGAGGTAGCAACTAAAAACAAAACACTTTACTTGAGATTTTTATGAAATGCTGTAATTATATCTTCAAACTTATAGCTTACAATTCACTCTTTTTAACTAATTAACTGGAATTGTGGAATCATGAACCATATATGGTTTGAGATATAAAGCATTGTATTGCTTAACAAATACTAATCAGACTGACAAAAGAAATTAGGACATAAAGCATCTTATTTTTGTTTGTTCGTACTGAAAGTCAGCATGCCCGAGTTCTCCCTTTTAAATTACCTTCTGAAGTGCTCCAGTAAGTCTCCTTCAAAGCATGGGAATAAAAACTTACTGGCATGTCTTTTGGCATACTTTCTCAGCAAATGATGTTTGAATAATACAAATTGCCTGCAATTAAGAGGCAGCAGAGCAGGGTCAGGGGCTTTTAGGGTTTTCCCTTTGCGCATTGACCCGATTCGCTTACAGGAATGGTGGTGCGAAACAGTGACACGACTTGCCAGTGTGTTATGTTGCATAATCGTGACTGATGTAGCCCAGCTGTCCACCTTTACGGTAAATGTGAATTCACTGTGGACTTTTAGATTAGGCAAGGGGACAAAACAAGAGGTGCTCTTCTTCTGAAGGAGCTTTTTCTAGCTTTAACTCAGCTTTAAAATTGGGTCAAGTGAAGTGGACGTGTGATTGTAAGAGGCTGCAAAGCTGCATTGTTTCACACAACACTGTCACTGGCAGCACGAGAAACTTTCAGGGCTGTTCGCTCTCCTCTGCTTCAGTTGAGGAGGAGGGCTGCAAATGAATACCTTTAAAGTCTTTCACTTGCAAACAATTTCAGGTTGATGTATATTGATGTTTAATGTTGCCATATAAATCTACAACCATCAAGAGGGATAAGTCGTCACTTACTTTTCATTTGATAAATTAGGAGCTTTGGTTGAAAATGTGTTTTCAGATTGAGAATTTACATGCAGAACAGGATTTTATTTAATGCATACTAGTATTTGATGTCCTTTCTTTAAATGTCTCAGCAGTGGTCACATTGGTGGCCAGTGAGCTGCACCCCTTCATCCACTCTGGTCATAAAATTATACAAAGTATACAGTCATACAGAACTTTTGCTACCAAATGCCATGATTTTTTTTTTCATTATATGCATGGACTTCTACAACACTGGAATCCTTTAGAAAGCTAATCGAGATGACATTTCAATATCAATGTTACTTCCCACCATGTGCAGCAGGTTGCTCTTGCCAACCAATAAGCTCATGTGTCAGAAAATGTAATCACATTCCAACACCACTCAGCATGCACATGATAAAGTTATTTTTAGAGTAACTGTTTTAACCAACAGTGCTCTGCTACCACACAGTTGTCCACAACTTCATCATGTTGCATCTTTTGATTTAGTTGTTTGACCACAGAAATGCATCAGTGTCTAATAATGCAAGCAATCACCAAGAAGAAAAATCTTCTCCAGGAATTCTATGTATACCTCCTAAACGCTGTTAAAACTCCCAAAACAGGCAGGTAATTTTCTGAGGGTTTGTGATATATAGCTTGGACTCAGCATCCACTCACCTGATAAATGGTGTGCTAAAGGATTACATTGAATTGTATGAAGTTAATCATTCAGCCATATCTCAAACCAGAGATATGGTCAATTCTTTGTGCTGTAACTATTATGAAAAGACATTCTCATACTTGCATATGCTGGTTTATCTGCTGTAAAAACATACTTGACTCGGCCCTGAAAGCAAAAACGTCATTGTTCTGTCCTCTGTTTTTTGCTTATTAATTTATTTTTGTTAGTCATTCACCATAGTAATTTGATTTTCAGGACAGGAAAGCAACATAAACTGCTTGTCAAATAAAATGGACATTTGACAGAGCATTTGCGTCACTCGTACTATTTATGGCATTTCTGAAACTGTAAGCACCCGTACATTTCAGTTTATCAAAACAGGAAGCTGGAGATGAATCGCATTCAGAATGCAGCTGGAATACAAACATTGCTAACCAGGCTCAATCATGATGCACTACGTTGGTGTTAGGTGGTTGGATTTTAAAACCATTTGAAGGTAGACAAGCACAGTTTAATTATTTCCATCACAAATTACAGAACTGCTTTTCACAAAGGGTTGAAATAGACTTTTTTTTTGTGCTCACAACAAGCTAAATTAATTTTCTCTAGGGTTTTCATTCAGGCTAACAGTATGGACTCTTTATTGTTCACTGCATCTCTGTTGAACAGCATTGGCTGTGAAAATGTTAACCTGTAACTGCCATTCATACATTAGAAAAAACATTTCCAATTCGGTATCATTCGGTCCAGGGTGAGAGAACACAAAGACGCGGCGTACACTCCAAATCCGTCGGCAGCTCGCTAATGAAATCATTTATTTGATTAGTGCAAATCACCCACTCAGTGGCAATCTTTCTCAGATAATTAACACAAGATGAAAAGCAAGCAACAGACACATCGCTAACAGATACATAATGCAAATATGTAATTACTGGTTAAGTAATCATGCAGCAACTAAAAATACAGAGGTGTAATTTTCTTTAAAAAGAAAGAAAAACAATTCTGTAGATTCACCTGTGTTTGATCTGTGGACTTTTTGTAAGCGACTTCCTCACCCAACCGTGGAAGTGGCCTTCTGTCTCTTTTTCGGGCTGAGCCTGACCATGCCTCAGGGCGGTGTTTTGACTTACAACTAACAACTAACTTCAAAGTTTTCACAAAGCAATGGCACCGCATGACACATGAATGTTTAATGTACTTACAGTTAGGTGCTGCCCTGCAACATTTCCCCGAGTCAGATCCAGTCCAGTGATCCCTCCACCAGATTTGGCTACACTCTCAGTTATTTGAACTTTAAGCAGGAATAGTTGTTACAAAATGAATTATTATGTAACATAGATGTACGTAATATAGATGAATATTTTAATGTAAAAATAGCGCAAAAAACTACATTTCAGCACATGACAGAAAATGACATGA